TTTTTTGCCCAATTCACCAAATAACCTAAATTCTTTTGTAAAGTAACAACATTCTCATCACAGCTAGTAACACCCAAGACCTTAATTCATTTTAAAATTTAAGCAATTAATTGAGCCAGTTTGACTGTACTCCATTTATAACAACTTTCTGCTTTTTTAGATCTAGCTACTTTTCTATCCAGTTGAGCCACCTATTCTCCCACACCTACAGTTTTTTAACAAACTTGTTGTTTTGCATCTTATCAAATGCTTTCTGAAAATCCAGATACACCAAAATCCATACCCTTACCTACATAAGCAGCAACCTCTTCAAAGAATGTCAAAATGCAGTTCTGATACGTGCTGTTTCCTGTGATTTTCTGATTTGCATATTCAAAATATTCAACTGTTATACATTTCAAGGCAGACAAAACAGTGTTGTCTAAATAAAATAGCATCATATTGTGCTTTCACGTGTTTAAACACACAAACAACAAAATTAAAGATAGGTATTGTAGCATTTCCTTTCTTTTTTGGCATATTTAAGTAAAGAAATACAATTCTGCAAAGTTTCATTAATTTGGAAAGAATGAATTCCTTTATAATGGAGAGAAAATATTATCTAAAAGTTCAAGTAAATAGAATATTCATATATGGACAGTATTTCTCTCCTATATATATATATATAATTTGATTAATATTCCTTTTATCAAGCAGTTTCACTTTTCTTGATGTATTGTTACACATAGCTGTCTAAGATGTAATAGACATAAGAAGCATTTTTTTTATAGCACCAAATGTTTGAAGCTCCTTGCTGACTCAATAGTACGCTCAAGGACTTATAATGCTAAAATTCACAATTTGTATTTTGCTGTGGAAACAGTATAGATAGCTTTATACTTAATCTCAAACATGACATAAAAATCAAAAGTTAACAGAACACATAGTCTTTAATGTCTATCATATATGCTTTTAAGTGAAAATTCCACACACAGAATTGTTCCTTAAAAGTACCTTTTACATAGGTATCCATTCATTCAAAATTTACTTGAGACACAGTGCAGCCCAGTAGATAGTTTGCCACAATGTGCATCTGAGGGTACATGTTTGCAACCTATTACTGCCAATAAGAAAAATCTTGCTCCACACTCTGGTGCCATGGGTACATTATATAAGTCAATTCAAATCCAACTATATGGTCTTACAAAGTTAGTGTTGACTAGCTGCTCTTGTTTTAGTCTAACTCTTTAAAATTATGGACAGCTATGATGGTCCTTAAAGTATCAGGATTTCATGCCCTCAGTTATTGGTGCAAAGAAAGAATCCTGGATAAGGGCTGACTTAAGAAGTGAGGATCTTGTAGTTCAACTTAAGCATGATGGAACAAAGTAGATTTTGCCATTACTGTGAAATATTGTAATATTTTTATATGGGGAGACTGCTCCAAATTATCACACTTTTCAATGGATCCAGGTGCCCCTGAAATGTTTCAGTACTATCTTTACCTACCTCTTTTTTGATATACAGCTAATACCAGTGCTTGTACCCTAAAGTACATTCACTTTCTTAAGCTTCCTACTGACAGGAAGCAGCCACCTATTATATTTTACCTACTATTACACATTTTATACCAGTAGTTGTTTATTATATCCTAGTAATCATTAAATATTTCCTATAATCTATTATATATTTTCTATCTTTAACCTTTTCTACTGAAACACAGTACCTGTTTATTAATTCATGAATCCTATTGTACGCAAATCTTCTGTCACCATGACATATCCAAGGTTCTTGTACTTCTTACTGAAATGCTGAAGCTGACCAATAGTTACTTAACAATGAAAGATGCTGTTTGTTCTAAAACAGGGATACTGGTATCCACTATCTATTATAATCCCTCTATTGTTTACAGCAGAATATATTACCTGACAAACAATAACTTCTTTATACAATTAACGAAAAAGTATAATTCATGCAAAGTGAAGGAAAGCATTAATTTAAATCATGGGCAGTTCTAACAATAATTGAAATTAAAAGGTTTATTAAGTCAGAGGATACAAAAACACTGTAATATGCAAATTCTTGAGGTATTTCGAAATGTGACTTACCTAAAACTTATAGTCAAATCAACAATAACTTCTTTAACTACAAAAAAACATTAAAAATTAAAAGGTTTCTCTTATTATTGGATAACTGTAAAAATCTGTCACCAAGTCTTATCTTTTTTCACTATAACTGTTTTTTTTATATCTTATTACAAACTAAAAAATCATCCAAACTGACATACACAAGGATTACAATCAAGAGCAGCATGGTTTTATCAGATGATTATGAAAGTTATTTATATTTAGCCTCTTTTACAATTGACCAATGCAAATAATGTAACCCACCATCCACATACATCTCCAAATAGTGATATAAAAACATCTGGTTTACCAAGACCACCAATCAAGTTATTCATAAGGGTATCCAGAACATCTTACATTATAACCTAAAGATCCATCCTTACGAGATAAAGTAATTCAATTCACCATAAGTTTCCAATCATATTTCCAGACATTCAAATCGACAAACATAAAGTCATATAATTCACAAAACTATATGAATCGCTTCAATACTTAACTTTAGAAACGTGAAGTAATTCAAATCCTAAGTGTTACCAATAATTTTAATCACCCAACCTACATACATGGGTTTTATCAAGGTCATAAATCACCTCCCAAACATTCAAGCCCACAAACAATGCCCAATCAAGTTTTTCAGTTCATCACGACCACCAGATACTTTCTTAAACATCCAACATTATGTAAATAAAGTCCTTCCACCAAATGAAAGGTAATTTAGTTAACAAAGATAACTAATTACTTTCCCAAACATCTAACTTTACAAACACAAGATCATTAATTTTTTAAATGCCAAGAAAAACCTTCCCAAAAAATTCAACCTTATTAGATAGAAGAAATAAGGTATTTCATTTACTCAATGGCTTCCTATCATTCAAAAATATGTCAAACCACATGACCCAATTACAGTTATCAAATCAAGATTACTAATACTTTCCCAAGCATCCAGTCCTGAAAAATAAGATTCATCTAGGTGACAAAGTTATTCCAGTCATCTACAAACATTATCCCATACATCTAGCTCAAAACAAATGTCTTCCAACCAAGTAAAATGGAGGTATTTTACAAAAGCTACCAATAATTTTTTCTCATATATAATTCATAAAATGTAAGGACATTCAGTTCTTAAGGGTCTGGTCACAATCATCACCACAAATAACAAACTTTACAAACACACGAAGAACATCTGGTTCATATGAGACAGAAACCAATTTCCATGACATCCAACCTTACATAGTTGTATTATTCAAATTGCTCATCAGTCAACCTCCCAAACATATGAAGCTTTATAGGTATAAACTTCAAATAAAGTTCACTGAGGTAACTTACGTATTTATTTAATTCAGCAAGTTTGTAAATAACCTTTCCAAACATCCAATCCTACAAACAACACACCAGGGCATTCAGTTTACAGGTATAAATTATATAAACACATAACAGAACATCATTTAAATTACCAAGGTTACAAATATTCGCCTTGATTAAAATCCAACAAGTTAACTTAAGGTCATTAAGCTTCTTTGACTTTTGAAAATTTCCTCTCAACATCACCTAACCTACTCAGGCTACTGTAGCGCATGTCTTAAAAAAAGTCTTCAGTTGTGGTTCCATATTGTAGCAATATTATTGACAGATTTACACAAAATGAGACAAATACGAGGTTCAAACCGAGCTATAAAAGCGGGCATGCATACTTGGGCTCCTATTAACAGAAGTTATGGAACTAGATAAAACATTAACTTGATTAAGTCAGAAGGATCAGCGTTTGATCATTGATGGGCAGATTAGCGATCCTTCCATGTTCGTAAGTTCTTTCCAAACAATTGCGTATGCACTGATTGGTAATTAACATAGCACGCGTTGTTTAAATGTTTACTATTATTTATGAAAATTAAAATCTTATACCAATTTTTATGCCTAACGTTAACATCCCATGGTCATACAGATGGGATTTCCATTTGAATCACGTGGTCTTGTACTTTACTCGTAAAACTTATTTTTGATTGAACGTAATTGTTCATGAGGCACCAAAATTTATGCATACGTATACTCACAAATGTTCATGTTAAAACTTCAGCATCCAGAGATGGTAATCACAACTTTAGTCACGCATTAATAATTAACACAACTGACTACAAAAAATATTGATTTCAAAATATCAAGTAACCCAAACACAATAACATTACCCATGGCTATATCTAAAATCCAAAGTCACACTTAAAATATCCATATTTAACGTTAACTTAGAAACGTAACCCCGTTCTTATGAAATTGTCACGTCTACTCTAGTATTGGTTGTTACATGTATGTGACGATTGTCTATGGCTTGCGAGCCTATACGTCACACTAGGGTTTGTTGACGTTTATAAATGCATCGAAGGCGTCATCAAACTTTTCTACGTTAACAATAAAACAATTTATTGTTTTTTGTAACAGTTGTATGCAAAATTACAACTAATTCCCTATATAAACTTCCATTACTTCTGAACATTGATAATGGGAACAAATATATTGTATTAAATTAGAACTATTTTGTTATGCGCCTTTAGTGTCGTAGTTTTCCTCATTTGAAACGCTATTTTGCGCGGGAAATTGATCCAGACGCCATTTTGGATATGAAAAATCGACGTTAAATGCCGTATCTGGTTGATTCAAAGCAATTTTTTCAAGTAAACGGTATATAATCGTGATAAAATTTTGCCGATTATTTCTTGGAAGCATCTTAACGCAAGCTGTATTAAGAAGTAAAGGTAGGTGTGGCAAAATGCTTGAAATTATGTGTTTGTAAAATGTCGACCTGTAAAAACTAGTAGTAAGATAGTGCTTCTCATGACATCTATGGTCTAAAGGCGATACTACAAGCTTGGGTCGACTGGTGCTAGCGTTCTAGACAAGTTATGTGGGCGATGTCGGTGATACGTTATTCTTTCGTGCAAATGGCGGTGCTACTTACAGTAAAACTGATAGTATAATTTTTCATGCACTAAAGTCTTGACAAATGCACAAAATATAGTCATGAATTTATCAGCCAATAGCCGCTTTAAGATCTTTTTTTTTATAATTTCCTTATATATTATAAGCTTGTGCGTGATGAAAATAGGCTAGTGAATTGAATCAAAACAGTCACCGAGTCAGTGTATTTCTTGTTCTAGCACTTTTTTATTTATGCGTATAATCCATACTATAGTACAAATCTTATTGGCGGTGTTACAAGTTAGTAATAGTTATCCCTTATAATTTGCACATAGTCAACCAACGTTAGTTTATTTTATATTACAGGGTCGAATAATTTATTGTAAATTTTATTAGAAAAAATATTGGAGGTGACTAACAGTAACAGTGAGTAACATAACATGATGTCATGTCTGTATGGACAGTGCCGTCAATGGTGGGTTAACCTTCAGAAAGTTTTATAATTTTTTTATTAAGTAAATTAATTGTTTGTGTTTTGCTCTAGGTTATTAAGTGAGTCGTTTATGGATTTTTAATTGTGCATTTGTAACTAACACAGATTGAAAGTTATATTTCAAGTTTTTAAAATGCACATTTGTAAATAAACTTCAATAATTTTTTGAGTTTCATTATAATATCACCATATAATTAAATTAGTATTTAAGAAGCATCATTCCCAGTTTTCATGGTAGTATGATGCAAATGCTCTCTAGTACTGAAATACTTGATTATTGTAGTTTATTTTTTACAAATATAAAATACTAGAATAATAGTCTTAAAAACATCTTGTGAACAGTATTGTACAACAGTTTTTTGCAAATTTGGCATTCCGTGAGAGCTCTTACACCTGAATTTAATTTCCTTAGATTTATATCAGTTTTCTATGCAAAATTAATCTTTCATTGTTATGTACATATAACTGAATATTTTGGTGTACAGTAAAACATTAGAGCTCTGTTTTGTGTTGCTTTTGAAGAATTAGGAAGAAAAGTTATTTAAATGTAATGTATATCAGGCTTTTTATATTGGATGAAATATAATGATTAATGCAGGTAGATGAAATAAATTAATAAATTACTAACTGGCTATAGGAAATTCTGTTAGGTTTTTTTTTGGAAAATGTATGTTAAAGAAAACTTGTACTATTAATTGTGACTACTGCATGCAAGTGATGAGAAAATTTAGTTTCCATGAAGAAACGTTACCTTTGTCACGAGTGACTTTTGACAATATTATCTGACATTACATATAAAGGTAGGATAGTGGTAGAAAATAGGATATCCTAGATGGGTTATATGTCTCAACATTATTCTTTGGTAATGAAATAAAAAAACATTGCATGAAAATAGTGTCAAGAAAACCTAAATTTAAGCATTTACTAGGCTTGCTTTGTGCTTTGATAATTCACTGCATAAAGTTAATCAAAGGTTTGTGTGTAGAAGGCCAGTGTTTCAAATCCTTATTAGAAGAAAGAAGTCGAGGATATAAAACTTGTTAACTGAATTTAAGGGTAGTTGAATGAGAATATGTAAAAGGCTAGTATTCAGTCAGTCTGGACTCTATTACTAGTGGAGTGCTTTAGGAGTCAGTGCTTGAGCCTTTCCATATTTACATGAATAAAATAAACAGGAGCATAATTAATGAAGTAATAAAATTAGCTGCTAATTTAAAACTTTGGTATTTTTAGCTGTATTGAGGATTATAAGTTATTACAGAATTATTTAGATCAGTTGGTGAGTTGGACAAATATTTGGCAAATGGCCTTAGTTATAGTTAAGCCAAAGGCGAAAGCACTGACTCCTGAAGCACTAATAACAATGGTCCAGTATGACTGGACATCATTAACAACCTTCTGCTTTTTCTCATCTAGCCAATCAATTAAGTAGTCTTTCCCCAATCCCTACCAATTATTTTTGTTTTAGCTAATTTTCTGTGTGACCCCTCCTCAAAATTTCTTTTATAAATATAACAACACTAAGTCACCCCCAATTCCTTCCATTGTCCAGATATCAAGTAATATCCTCAAAACAAGTTAATTTGCTAGTAAGGTGATATTTCTTTTTAGTGAATCTATGTTGGTGTTTCTTTATGATAGCATATTCCACTAAATGATTTTGTAAAGGTGTTTTTTCTTTCAGACTTTCAAATTTTCCTACAACAGAGGAATAACTAACTGACTAATAATTTCCAGTGCAACTGTTATCATCCCATTAAAAATAAGATAAACATTAGCAACTCTCCAATCCTTAGGCACTTGTCCAATCACTGTCTATTAATATGAATTTCTGACCAAAGTAATATATTGTTACCTCTCCGTTCGTTAGTTAATTTTCCGTAAATTCGTTACGACGAAACTTTAGCGACACAAGT